AGAAGGACTTTAGGTTCCGGTTTCTGATTGGACTCACAGGTGACAGTTTAGGTTGCTCTCCCTGCACATTGTTTTTTTAATCATTTACCCTAACCCAGGTATCTTTGGCAACTAGATTTTAGTAACTTCCTCAAGGCAGCGTGTGGTTCAGAAAACAAGTAGGCAGTTCCACATCCTCTGTGGACCATTGTGAGCTACACAACCAGAGTTGCAGTCAGACCCCATTAGGACAGAGGCTGGGTACCAGGAGGAGTGCAGAGAGGCTCCTGGCTTTCCATTGTGCTGGAATTTAACTGGAACGACTGAACACAATTTCATTTTAAAATCCCCCCACCCCCGTCACCTCATTAACACCTCCAATGAAAGACAGCTGTGATACTGTTAACTCTTTGCTTGCACATTCTTGAAAGTGCTATTGGCTGGGATCTGTGGTCCTTGTGAGAAGATACCCTGCTGTCACCAATCTGGGTATCTGTAGCTTAAAATGAGGGTTTTCCAAGACCCATATTTATACCCCAATAGTGTGCCATTCCATAGAGTGAGATACGTACTTCTGCCAGGTTTTGCATATTTTGAGCTACTAGTCCATAAGCTGCAGAATGTTGTTTTTTTTTTTCTTTTGGGAACTTGGCTGGCTCAAATTCTTTTTGGAAATAAAATGAGAGCGTATGTGAACATTCATTAATTTATTCACTCATTCATTTACTCACTCACACATTTAATAAATCACATTGGATGAGTGCCTATAATATGCCAGGCAACATGTCAACATCAGGCAATAAAAGAGAATAAGACATCATCCCTTCCCTCAAGGAGTTTACTATTTAATGTGGTTTAAAATAATTATTCCAATATAATATGATAAGATAATGATAAAACTTACTGTGGGAACAAAAAAGAAAAGGGAGTAAAACATAGACTAATGGAGGTCAGGGAAGACAGAAGAGAAACTCTAAGCTATTTTGAAAAATTAGTGGGAGTTAGCTATATGCAGAAGAGCTGAGATGGGAAAACAATATGTATAAAATTAATAGATAATGATTTTGAAATGATATTAAAGATCAGCTTGGTGCACAGTACAGTGAGTATTGGTATAGTGGATGCTGTAGTATATAGACCTTTCTTTTCAGGATGAAACACTGACCCTTCCAGTTACTGGGAGCACTGATGGCTATAAGAACTCAGCTGAACTTCCTTTGCAAATTTCTTCAACCAAATGGAGCTCCCTTGTCCAAGATCATGTTCCCTCCCCTAGGACAGTAACGCATCCAAAATGCAGAGGTATAAAACCTAGTCCCCTGATTTTAAGGTGGACAATTCTAATTGTGCATTCCACTTCAAGAGCTTCTAGTAAGATCTTCTGATGCCTCTGCCTCAACTTCCACAGTTCAACATGCTCCTCTATTTTTGCTTTCCACACCCTTCATAGCTGATATGCCCTGGCAGAGGCTGCAAAAGGATCAGCAAGCTCTAAGAAGTTGGTATGCTCAAGTGGAACTACTCTATAAGGTTGCAAGACCTGTTAGTTGCATGTGTTGATCAGGAGGGCCTGGTGGTCACTTCATCTACCTAAGTGGTCAGGAATATGCTGGCGAAGCAGGCTCCAGCATTACTGCAAAACTCAGTTACAGCTGGTGGCAGGAAATGCAGTTAGAAAACTGGGTTGACAATGAGGGTGACAGAATTCCAGGAGATAGAGGCCAGGTGGTGACAGTTGACTATCAGAAGCAAGGATATTATTTATAATGAATGGTAAGGTTGGGTGCAAGCTTGGCTGGGGGGCCAGGGAGAGAGTTAGTGGGAGAGAGTGTCCCTTGGGCAAAACAGATGGGGCAAGAGCCACACAATCAAAAAATCTCAAGCCACACAATGGAAAGAAAACAAAGACAGGTGATCGAAAGGTTGAACACAGTCAGCCTTCAGCCTACTCTCTAGATCTGAGATCATTTTCGGACTGGGAGTCTTAAAAGAAATGCCAAATCTCCAACAGAAACTGAAAGAGGGGAGAAAGACTAACCTTGGTTCATTCGTGGGTCAGCTCAGTGTGTGGGTACAAGTCAAAAGTAGATTACAGCTGCATTTCAGAACTGATCAGGGGAACTTATCCTTTCAGTGGGTAGAGCTTCTAGGGATTTACCTGGCCAACTGCTCTAGGGTATTGGTGAATGCCTTTGTTGGTTGATCAGAGACCTAGAAAAAGAAATATTGGATGTGGTACAAAATGATCTGGAATTAGAAGTGTATGTACAGACCTGTAGGAATGAGTATAAAAGATATCCACTTACCACATGTTAAGCATCCATTGAGGAAAAGGAATAAGCAATAAAATAGACTTTGTCAGTTGATATCAGCCAGCTTTTCTTACCAGCCACCCTGGGTTGACACAATAGATGCATCAGTGGAGTAGGCATATTGGCTTTTTGCTGACCCAATAGCATGGACTCCCACTCACCAAGGCTGATCTAGCTACTTCTTCTGGCTAAAGCCAATGTGTCAACAGCCTAGATCAACGCTCAACTGCTCACATTGTACAACTCTTCGAGGAGATCAGTCACTATGTTGATTACGTTGGAATCCTTCTGCCTTGGAAGAAGCAACCACTCAACTTGACAGGAATCATCATATATGTAGTTACAAGTTTGATTTAGGAAAAGTCTTTGCCATTATTAGAGTGCTTGGAAAACTGACAAAGAATTCTATATTATATTAAGGGACATTTTCAGTAAAGAAAGTGTAGCAGTGTGACTAGGATTATCAGATCCACTCATCCAGTCACCACACTTGGAACTGGTAACCTGATAGACCTACAGATGGGTCTAGTGCAAAGAATGATGGCACAACATCCCACAGGATGTGATATCTACTCTGCATCAATGTTGATTAAATATTTTGTTCACAATAGAAATAATATATTAGTCTTGGGATAGAGGAGTAGTAGAAATGTGTTTGCTTTCTTTTGTAAGCTTCTTCAAGGAAAGCGACCGACCAGACCCACAGCTTGAGTCTTCAAGAACGTATTACCTGAGGCAGTGGGTCTGGAAAGTGGGAGGGCTTGAGTGCAGTGGACGCTGCTGTGGTAGGACCAGACCCCCTCTGGGACTGAGGCGCTCATTCCCCCACTGGACATGGTGACGGCGCTCAGGTCTCAGCCGAGCATCTCTCGGGACTGTTCATCAGCCACTCGTGTTCCTCTCTCCTCTCCAAGGGGAAACTGCATGCAATGACGGCTCCATGCAAAGGTAAATGTATCTTGGTTTCTTGCCTCAATGACCCTAAAATGTCATTTTAAAGCCAGTGTCTCCTCTAGGATTGTTTGTGGCTTCTTTAACCACTGCATGGTTCACATTCTCCCTCTGCCAAATTCTGTTGCTGTTATCCGTAATATCCATTATAATATAGGGAACACGCTCCAGTAAACCTTATGCACGTGCATGTACATCTCAGAGACCAATTCCTAGGGAGCCCAACCTCTGGAAGAAGAGTGTGTGGTATGTGGGGTGAAAGCTAATTATTGTATCTAATACCTAAATGCGATACAGTTTCAGGAAACAAAAACGGAGGGTTAGGCTGGGAGATACCTTTGTCCCCAGCCAAGGACTCAGTTTCTTCTGATGTCACTAATCCATTTCTCTCTCATTGGATGGTGGAAGCTGTTTTCCCACGATGCTCTACCCCATGATTAGGGTCAAAGCACGGAGCTTATCTTACCGATTTAAAACTCTGAATTGGAAGGCCTTATCATTTCAGTTTGTGCTTGGAGAAGACAGTCCTAGCTACAGGGGATACTGAGAAATGTGCTTTCTAATTTACATCCCATCTGTATCAGTCATCTTTCTGTTGCTGGGACAAAATACCTGACATAAATAAGTTAAAGGAGGAAATGTTCATTTTGGTTGAGTTTTGGGGTTTTCAGTCACAGTCGGCTGGTTCTCAGGCAGAAACATTACGGCAGAAGGGCAGGAGAGAGGAAGGCTTTTCACCTGATGACAGCCAAGAAGCAGAGTAAGTGAGAAAAAGCAGAGAAGAAGGAGCCAGAAATAGCCTTCAGAGGCATCTCCCGGTGACCAGCTTCCTCCGCCTGGGCCCCACCTTCTAACACCCCACCACTCTATAAGCTCGAGAATGAAATAATCTACGGATGAAGTTGATACCTCAGGATACTAGCACTCCTCTCGGTCTTGCTTCTGAGCAGTGCTACACTGGGGATGGAGCCCTCAGTACGAGTCTCCGGGAGACCCTTCATATTTACACCATGACACCCTTTTAACTCTGTTATTGTAGAAGAACGTATTTTGTTGGACAACCCTTCCAGCATAAGGTAAGAAACAGAGTAGAACACAGGGATTATTTCATGTACAGAGTGTTAAAAAGATGCCTGAAGATTGTAGGTAGTGAACAGTTTGCAAGGGAGAAGTGTGTTGCGAGATTAGCCAAGCAGTTCCTCATGTGGGAGCACTATTTTTCTCTCTCAGTATCTTTTATAACAGGTGGGATCTGTAGTCTGAAAGTCATCTGTGTCCCCACTTTGTCCTCGTGAGGAGGGAAGACCAGAGGGAAAGATGAAGTTGCTCTGTCAGAAAACTGTGAATGAGTTGTTCCCAACTCTTGTTTGAAAGAAGAATTACCAGAGCATTTTCCTCCTCATTCCCTGGGACGCAGGGGCGGGGCCCAGGTGTGAGGCTTTATAATGATGAAGAGCAGAATGCCGCCTAGTACAGGAGGGGCGGAGCGGAAAGGAGCTCGGGCTCCTGTGGGCCTAGAGAGAGACCTGAGTGTGGCCCAACCCTGGTTCTGCTTCTCCATTTATAACTTTCCCCATTGCTTGGTTTCTTTGGCATTAATCTCTAGTCTGAGATGCTTGACAAAATATCCTAAAACTTTCTCTTCAGTTTCATAACTTCATTTGACTTGAAAAGTTCTTAAAACTGAAGTTTGGAGCCAGCCAGAGTTAAAGCTCAAGAAATGTTGCTTGTACTTCATGAAGTTTTATTTTTATTTTAGCAGAGTAAATGATGGGCTGAGCCTCAGTCTACAGAGGAAAACTTCTCCTCAATGTGACAAGAGCAGCGGCAACAATCAGCTGGGGGTGCTTTCTGTGGCCTTGGACAGACTGTCTCATCGGATGGGCTTCCTTTCTGTCCACCTGTTCAGATGCTGATTGCACAGAATGGTGAGTGAAGGGGAAAGTCCAGGAGAAAGTCTCCGGACCTCCGATGGCCTCCTGATCTCTGTCTCATATCATGAAAGTCCAGAGATACAAGTTCACCATAGGACATCTAACATGATGCTATCCTCATGATATTTTGATATGCACCAGACAGGAATTAGGGATTGGCCACATAAATTGGTACTCTACACTGAGGTCGAGTTTGCTCAGTAGGGCACATGCTCAGTTTCCTGCAGCTGCCTTAGAAGTGAGAGGCACATTTCCACTCCGGCCTGGCTCAGAGAGAAAGGAAGAGGTTCCTGACTGACTGCAGCGGCTTAGAGGACGGGGTGAGTGGCTGGGGGCAAGCGAAGTGGAAATTCACCAAAATGCAGAGTTTCTATTGGTAAAAATAACCACGTGGCTTCCTGCATCCACTTGAGACCCTTCATTTTGTACACTTAAAAAAAATTAAGTTGCACCTACTGGCAGCTCAGCTCTGAGTGACTTTAATAAAGCCACGCTGTCAGCTGAAAGGCAAGATACACATTTGTGATTAGAATCGATGGGCAGCAAAAAGCATGCACACACTGGCAATACTGAGATGGCAAATCCTTCCTTTTCAGATATTTATGAAAGGGCGCTTTACTTATAAAGTTCAGTTTTCCCCAGATTAGTGGTCACGTCAGCACTTAACATGCTAGCAGGGGGAAGGAATCAGTATCATGTTTGTCTTTAATGTGGGAGACACAGGACACCTGGCCTTCTTCTCTTCATACTGGGACACCATGCGAGAGTGCACTGAGGCACAATACAGCACTTATTCTGAATTGCAATCCATCTGCACTCTACAGTAGGAAGACAAAAGAGGATTGTTAGCTCTTAAAGGCACCTTGACACAGTCATACCGTTGGACCCTTTTATTAATTGCCCATCTGCTAAGTGAGAGCTCTCTGACACAGGTTGGTGCAGAACTCTTAAAGCCCTTAGTCTGCTTCCTATTGGTTCCACATGTGTTTGTGTTTGTTCTCAGTAGGCAGAGATTCCAGAGAGAAAATGAACCGCTGCAGATCGATTCCACTATCAGTCATGCAGAAGACATGGGGAAGTGTGCCATTTGATTCTGATCTAGTTTTAACCCTTGTGAGGCAGCTGCCCTGGCTCTCTCGGCTTTCGTTTGCTTGCCTTCCTGAAAACTCAGATGCTAATGGCAGGAGAATAGAAACATGATGTTTTCAAGTTAGAAAATACAGCATTTCCCCTTTAAGTTCTTCAGTCTTTAAAACCTTCCCATCTCTGTCTGGGACAGAGCAATAGGAAAGTGAGAGGGCATTAATGTGGTGGCACGCGTGAGTATGTGTGTGTGTGCACGTGTGTGCGCGTGTGAGCGTGTGCGTGCGCGCTTGCTGCTGTGAAAAGATAGGCTTTGTTTATGCAGCCAATGATAGTTCTCAACAAAAGTCCACTGACAGGGCTGGCAGCCTGGGCCTGCACTGATGAAAGACAGACCAAGCTGGCTCAAGGGTTTGCTTAGGTGATAGTTCTCCCCAGGATGATTTGTCTTTATCTTTTCCTTTTTACTTTGTTTTAAGGAGACTCAATGAGATTGAGTTAAGGATGTGATGTCTATTTTGGCCTTGGCTTTGCAATTTCTGCATTTAGCCTGGATTATGTTACAGCCAACTTGATGCTGGGGTATTTTTCTATGCACAGTTTGAAGAGAGAAACAGGAAAGGTGTGGCTGCCTTCTTAGTCTCATTATCATGGACTCAGGGTTTCTGGATTTGGAGGTAGTGGGTGTGAGTGTGTGTGTATGAGAGAGAGAGAGCGAGAGCGAGAGAGAGAGAGAGAGAGAGAGAGAGAGAGCACCAAGCCAAGCACCCCTTCCTCTTTCCTCCTTTTTTACTTCCTTTTTCAACACTGGGGACTGACCCCGTACTTGCTTGGCAAGTGCTCTACACCTGAGCTACATTCCTCTTCTTCTTGAGTATGCCTTTTATTTTGTCCATAAGGATATTTGATGTCCCTGTTTTATTTCCTGAAGCTCCAGGAACCTGGAGGAGAGGAGTGAGCCCTGGCCCTTTCATACAGTAGAGAACCTAAGCCCAGGAATAATTTAGCACATCTTTCTCGGAGGGCCCTAGAATCTCATTTTCTGCCCTATGCCCCTGGTTAAGACTTTGAGCCTTGCTTTGCTCATGGAAACAGGCCTGTCTGACTCCTATTCTCCTTTCTTTGAAAAGGAGCATGATATCTATTGGGAGGGACTCTTGCTGTTGGAAGCAATAGAAAAAGGGGTCCAGATTAGTTTATATAAAAGATGGTTTATGGGTTCTCATAGATGTGCAGGGTAGGGGTAGGGCTGGCTTTGGTTGTGACTGAATTCAGGGACTCAAATCTTACCCACCTTCGATCCATCTCTGATCCTGTTCTGGTCTTCCTCAGCTCTGGCTTCATTCTCAGACTTCATACGGTGTTGGGATGGCTGTATTTGTCCTTCTGAGTTCATGCTTGTGTGTGAGAAGGGCTTTCTCCTCGTGGACCCCCAATCATCCCAGTGGGCCTAGTTTAGGGTACTTTTCAGGGACTACCATGAGCTGATCTCCATGGCCAGGTGAATGAAGTTCTCTGATAAAAACTGAAGCCAACCTGTTCCTAACACCGGAGTAGAAGTCAGTCTGTACTCCATGGGCTAAAGTGTGGGAGAGTTTATATCTAGGAGAATATGGGCCATATTGTCAAAAGAAGTAAGAAATAGAGGCTGCCTATCCAAAATATATCCACTGCCACAGACTTAGAAGTTTAAAAGAAACGAATAGTAACCTGATCAATAAAATAATGTGTGTGTGTGTGTGTGTGTGTGTGTGTGTGTGTGTTTGTAAGGACACTGGCCAAACACATTGCTTTTAGAGTCAGATGTCCTAGGCTCAAATCCTAATTCTAGAAGTTACTTGTTATTTTGGCTTTTTGACAAGTTACTTAAAATTTTTGAATGATTTACATTTATCTTATAAAGATTTCTAAAGGAATACATGAGCACTTTATTAGTGAAGTCATTTCTCTATTCTTGTTTACCCTTGTCACAAATAAAAATAGTATTTCAGTACACTTAAATAATTGCTCAAAAATATTTGATGTACTCTTGATAGTATCTTGAGAAGTGTCCAAATTTCTACTTTTCCAAATTACCTTCTGTGTTTCAGAAGGAGAAGCGGCTTTTCCTTAGCAGATACATTTTGTCTACCGTCACAGATCCTTTTGGAAGAATTAAGTGTCGCTGAAGTGTGCCCGGAATGATGTGTATGTGTGAAGGATGAGATGATTTGTCTGTTTGGTGAAAACATCTTTTGCTGCATTAAGCTAAGTCCATGCCACAGGAATCTATTAGTCTACACAATTCTCACCTTCCCAAATGTTTCCACAGCTGGGATGCACAGTCTCGTTCCGAGACAAATGTGTGCACCACATTGACAGTCTGAAATTCAATCTTCAAACATCACTTGATTAGAACGAACATTATAGTGCATTGTAATTCTTTTCGCTTAAACAGCAGCCAATAAATTTATACCACAAACTATTCCCCACCCCAATAGCATATTCAAGAAGGTTTTGGTTAATGTCAAGTTAACCAGTTGACATCTAAATATTTACCAAAATCCTTTAAGTGCCCAGAGCTTGTAGAGTACCCTAATATCTGTAAGGCTGGTGCATATACACCTCACACAGCAAGTCAGCCACATACTTTGTGGTGAGTAGGAGCACATTTCTGATTTGTTTTTTCTAAATGCTTCAGCAGGAATCCCTTTATTCCAAGTACCATATCCTCTAAGTAATCATCTCTGTTAAGCAACTTGGACAGTGCTTGGCATGTAGGAAGAGTTCAAACACCATGCACTATATTAAATTGATTGTCATTATTATTACTTAAAGTATCAAACAGTACCCTTGGTAATGTTAATTCTGTTGGGCTCTTTACTTTTCTAATCTGAGAAGTGGGTGGATCTTACCCACAAACTACTCAGGCAAACTCACTGAAGCAAAAGGTTCGAGTACACTAATGACTATTCCTGAAAAGTAATCTGGAATAAATTCACTTCTTTTGTGGGTGTTCACAAACTTCCAGCCCATGTCATCTTTATATACTTCCTCTATTCTGCCTCTTAGCAAAGGGTGGACCTTGCCAAATGGAGACTGCTCCCCTCCACATCCCTGCTGAGGACACCTTGGTCTGCCTGGTCAGCTCTACTTTTCCTCTTTCGACAGAGGATGTATCATTGTCCAATGCAACTCATCATTTATTACTGATTATATTTATTGTTCTTTGTTGCCATCTCCCTTCCAGGATAGGAGTGCTACGAAGTCAAGGTCCTTGTCTCTTTTGTTGACATCTGGGACACCATATCTTTCTATTGCAAATGACACATTTTTTCTGAATAAATTATAAAGATTTACAGTATTTCTGGGATCAAAGCAACTCTATTCCAAGTATAAGAAGAAACGAAATTTTGATGGTGACCAATCTTTCCTTATGACCATACTATGTCTACTGTGAATCTTATCTTTGCTGGTTTTGGGGATGGTTCACTCTTCTGACTTGGTACTTGTATTGGGACACAGAATGAAAAGAGAAGACTGAACCAATTTCCATGATTCTGAACACCCTCATTGTGCTGGTTAGGGGTAGGAACTAAATACATAAAGGAGGAAAAACGGTAAAACAACTTCTATCACCCAGGCTCAGAACTTTTAAAATTTTTAAATATAATCTCTATCTCTTATACCCAAGCAGACAATAAATCCTTTGCTCCTTCTTTTCCTGTATCGTTCTTACTACAATTTCCAGTGTTTGTGCAGAGATGAAAGTGACAGGACTCCAAAATAATGCTAGCCTCATCAAGGTAACAGTTAAAATTTTCTGCCATAAGAATAATGCAAAGGTAGGAGGATTGGCATGCTAGCACCATGGGGCATCAGACATCTTTGAGCTCTACTATGTCTAATATGTAGCCATTCTCTTCCTCACT